TGTAGTGTACTAGTACAGCCACTAACACCGTATAGTAGTGTACTAGTACAGCCACTAACACCGTATAGTAGTGTACTAGTACAGCCACTAACACCGTATAGTAGTGTACTAGTACAGCCACTAACACCGTATAGTAGTGTACTAGTACAGCCACTAACACCGTATAGTAGTGTAGTGTACTAGTACAGCCACTAACACCGTATAGTAGTGTAGTGTACTAGTACAGCCACTAACACCGTATAGTAGTGTACTAGTACAGCCACTAACACCGTATAGTAGTGTAGTGTACTAGTACAGCCACTAACACCGTATAGTAGTGTACTAGTACAGCCACTAACACCGTATAGTAGTGTAGTGTACTAGTACAGCCACTAACACCGTATAGTAGTGTACTAGTACAGCCACTAACACCGTATAGTAGTGTAGTGTACTAGTACAGCCACTAACACCGTATAGTAGTGTACTAGTACAGCCACTAACACCGTATAGTAGTGTAGTGTACTAGTACAGCCACTAACACCGTATAGTAGAGTAGTGTACTAGTACAGCCACTAACACCGTATAGTAGTGTACTAGTACAGCCACTAACACCGTATAGTAGTGTACTAGTACAGCCACTAACACCGTATAGTAGAGTACTAGTACAGCCACTAACACCGTATAGTAGAGTAGTGTACTAGTACAGCCACTAACACCGTATAGTAGTGTAGAGTACTAGTACAGCCACTAACACCGTATAGTAGTGTACTAGTACAGCCACTAACACCGTATAGTAGTGTACTAGTACAGCCACTAACACCGTATAGTAGTGTACTAGTACAGCCACTAACACCGTATAGTAGTGTAGTGTACTAGTACAGCCACTAACACCGTATAGTAGTGTAGTGTACTAGTACAGCCACTAACACCGTATAGTAGTGTACTAGTACAGCCACTAACACCGTATAGTAGTGTAGTATACTAGTACAGCCACTAACACCGTATAGTAGTGTACTAGTACAGCCACTAACACCGTATAGTAGTGTAGTGTACTAGTACAGCCACTAACACCGTATAGTAGTGTAGTGTACTAGTACAGCCACTAACACCGTATAGTAGTGTACTAGTACAGCCACTAACACCGTATAGTAGTGTACTAGTACAGCCACTAACACCGTATAGTAGTGTACTAGTACAGCCACTAACACCGTATAGTAGTGTAGTGTAATAGTACAGCCACTAACACCGTATAGTAGTGTACTAGTACAGCCACTAACACCGTAGAGTAGAGTACTAGTACAGCCACTGACACCGTATAGTAGTGTAGTGTACTAGTACAGCCACTGACACCGTATAGTAGTGTAGTGTACTAGTACAGCCACTAACACCGTATAGTAGTGTAGTGTACTAGTACAGCCACTAACACCGTATAGTAGAGTACTAGTACAGCCACTGACACCGTATAGTAGTGTAGTGTACTAGTACAGCCACTAACACCGTATAGTAGTGTACTAGTACAGCCACTAACACCGTATAGTAGTGTAGTGTATAGTAGTGTATAGTGTAGTGTATAGTAGTGTATAGTGTAGTGTATAGTAGTGTATAGTGTAGTGTATAGTAGTGTATAGTTTAGTGTATAGTGTAGTGTATTGTAGTGTATAGTGTAGTGTATAGTAGTGTATAGTGTAGTGTATTGTGTAGTATATAGTGTAGTGTATAGTAGTGTATAGTGTAGTGGTGTGTATAGCGACTGTACACCTCGCACTGTACCACCTCACACTGCCAATCCCCCCACCCCATAACTTTGCACTCCGCTCGATTCGCATTTCTTTGCCTTGACCGGAGATTGCTGGCACAAAGAGCTTCACGGCTAATCGGATTTGCTAATCCAAACTCCCTGCTATTGAACTCTACTTACCCAAGATGGCCGCCACAAGCCACTAACCTACCCAAGATGGCCGATACGAAACCACAAACCCTTGCCAAAGATGGCTGACTAAACCCACACCCCCTACCCAATTTGGACGCCGTAAACCAACATAACCTACCCAAGATGGCCGTCGTAAACAGCCACCCCCTACGAAAGATAGCCGCCGTTAAACAACCCCCCCTACCCAAGACGGTGGCAAGGATCCGCCTGCCCTTGCCCAAGATGGCCGCCATGATGCGTCTGCCCCTGCCCAAGATGGCCGTTGTAAAACATCCTCCCCCTTATTCTTAGCTCTTTCGGCAAAGTCACGTTGAAGAGAAACAATAAAAATAATAAAATATATATAAAACAATAAAAAATTCTCACGACGTTTCGACCATAACACAAACGGTCGTCATCGACGTGACTTTACCGAAACAGCTAAGAATATGAATTACTGCGGTCACGAAAGCTTTAAATCAAAAATCCTCCCCCTTTCCAAGATGGCCGTCTTAAACCACCACAACCTACCCAGCATGGCCGTCGAAAACAGCCACCTCCCGATGACGTCAACCATTGGCGCGACCCGGCAGACTTAGAATCGATTCCCTCAATTCCGTCCACCCACAACAACCGTCGATTCGATCCAAAGTAAAAATTCGATTTCACCTTTTTTTTACGTTGAGAGCAGTGGGAGGAGGGCGGGCGGTTACGTCCGGGGAATCGATTCCATTTAATCGTTAACAGCTCAGGGTGCGGAGGGGGGGGAATCAGGGGAAGAGGTGTGGCAGAATCGATTCCTCTTAATCGATGTAAGTACAAATAATCAGCGAATCGATTCCACGTAATCGACGTCACCTCAGGGGTCCGGCGGGAGGACCAGCGCGGTGTGGGGCTGGAATCGATGCGCGCGTAATCGACTCGACGATTCCCCTCCGGCGACCGCCCCAAACCCGGAGGTTGGCATCGCGCTCCGCGCGGCCACGTGACCCGTGGGGACGCCATCCAAAGTGATGGACATCAACAACCACAACAACATCAACAACAACCACAACAACATCAACAACCACAACAACCACAACATCAACAACAACAACAACCACAACAACATCAACAACAACATCAACATCAACAACAACCACAACAGCCTCGCCCGGTACACCCAGAAGGTTCGTAGAGACGCCCAGACACGTTGTCCACCTCGCCCCGTGGTGGTAGTGCAGGGGGTAGTCACCCAGACACGTTGTCCACCTCACCCCGTGGTGGTGGTGCAGGGGGTAGTCACCCAGACACATTGTCCACCTCACCCACCGGGGTGGTGATGCAGGGGGTAGTCACCCAGACACGTTGTCCACCTCATGGTGGTGCAGGGGGTAGTCATCCAGACACGTTGTCCACCTCACCCCGTGGTGGTGGTGCAGGGGGTAGTCACCCAGACACGTTGTCCACCTCACCCCGTGGTGGTGGTAGTGCAGGGGGTAGTCACCCAGACACGTTGTCCACCTCACCCCGTGGTGGTGCTGCAGGGGTAGTCACCCAGACACGTTGTCCACCTCACCCACCGGGGTGGTGATGCAGGGGGTAGTCACCCAGACACGTTGTCCACCTCACCCCGTGGTGGTAGTGCAGGGGGTAGTCACCCAGACACGTTGCCCACCTCGCCCCGTGGTGGTAGTGCAGGGGGTAGTCACCCAGACACGTTGTCCACCTCACCCCGTGGTGGTAGTGCAGGGGGTAGTCACCCAGACACGTTGTCCACCTCACCCCGTGGTGGTAGTGCAGGGGGTAGTCACCCAGACACGTTGTCCACCTCACCCCGTGATGGTGGTGCAGGGGGTAGACACCCAGACACGTTGTCCACCTCTATGTATCTCTGTGGGTCTCTGTGCGTCTCTATGTGTATCTGTGTATCTCTATGTGTCTCTGTGGGTCTCTGTGGGTCTCTATGGGTCTCTGTGTGTCTCTGTGTGTCTCTATGGGTCTGTGTGGGTCTCTGTGGGTCTCTATGGGTCTCTGTGGGCCTCTGTGTGTCTCTATGGGTCTCTGTGTGTCTCTGTGGGTCTCTGTGTGTCTCTGTGGGTCTCTATGTATCTCTGTGGGTCTCTATGTATCTCTGTCTCTGTGTGTCTCTGTGGGTCTCTGTGTGTCTCTATGGGTCACTGTGTGTCTCTGTGGGTCTCTGTATGTCTCTATGGGTCTCTGTGTGTCTCTGTGTGTCTCTGTGGGTCTCTGTGAGTCTCTGTGTGTCTCTGTGGGTCTATGTGTGTCTCTGTGGGTCTCTGTGTGTCTCTGTGTGTCTCTTTGGGTCTCTATGTGTCTCTGTGTATTTCTGTTTGTCTCAGTGGGTCTCTATGTGTCTCTGTGGGTCACTGTGTGTCTCTGTGTATCTCTGTGGGTCTCTGTGTCTCTGTGGGTCTCTGTGTGTCTCTGTGGGTCTCTGTGTGTCTCTGTGGGTCTCTATGTGTCTCTGTGGGTCTCTGTGGATCTCTGTGTGTTTCTATGTATCTCTGTGTGTCTCTATGTGTCTGTGTGGGTCTCTATGTGTCTCTGTGGGTCTCTGTGGGTCTTTGTGGGTCCCTGTGTGTCTCTGTGTATCTCTATAGGTCTCTATGTGTCTGTGTATCTCTATGTGTCTCTGTGGGTCTCTTTGTGTCTCTGTGTGTCTCTGTGGGTCTCTGTGTATCTCCGTGGGTCTCTGTGTCTCTGTGGGTCTCTGTGTGTCTCTGGGTATCTGTGTCTCTGTGGGTCTCTGTGTGTCTCTGTGAGTCTCTATGGGTCTCTATGTATCTCTGTGTGTCTCTGTGTGTCTCTGTGGGTCTCTGTGGGTCTCTATGTGTCTCTGTGGGTCTTTGTGGGTCCCTGTGTGTCTCTGTGTATCTCTGTAGGTCTCTATGTGTCTCTGTGTATCTCTATGTGTCTCTGTGGGTCTCTTTGTGTCTCTGTGTGTCTCTGTGGGTCTCTGTGGGTCTCTATGTATCTCTGTGGGTCTCTGTGTATCTCTGTGTATCTCTATGTGTCTCTGTGTGTCTCACGTAACCCAGGCACTAATTTGAATGCGTGAACTGTGACCCCACTAGCTGTGGTGATGGAGGTGGTGGTGGCGGTGGTGGCGGTGGTGGTGGCGGTGGTGGTGGTGGCGGTGGTGGCTGCCAGGTGGAGAAGCGTCGAGATTTGTGGCACACTCAGAACACACTCACCACTCACTCACCACACACTCACCACACACTCACCACACACTCACCACGCTCACCACTCACACTCACCACTTACCACACTCACCACTCACTCACCACACACTCACCACTCACTCACCACTCACACTCACCACGCTCACACACTCACCACACACTCACCACACTCACCACTCACTCACCACACTCACCACTCACTCACCACACTCACCACTCACTCACCACACACTCACCACACGCTCACCACTCACTCACCACGCTCACCACTCACTCACCACGCTCACCACTCACTCACCACGCTCACCACTCACTCACCACGCTCACCACTCACTCACCACACACTCACCACACACTCACCACACACTCACCACACACTCACCACTCACTCACCACACACTCACCACACACTCACCACTCACTCACCACACACTCACCACACACTCACCACACACTCACCACACACTCACCACACTCACCACTCACTCACCACTCACTCACCACGCTCACCACTCACTCACCACACACTCACCACACACTCACCACACACTCACCACACACTCACCACACACTCACCACACACTCACCACGCTCACCACTCACTCACCACTCATCACACACTCACCACACACTCACCACGCTCACCACTCACTCACCACACACTCACCACACACTCACCACACACTCACCACACACTCACCACGCTCACCACTCACTCACCACACACTCACCACTCACTCACCACACACTCACCACGCTCACCACTCACTCACCACACACTCACCACACACTCACCACACACTCACCACACACTCACCACGCTCACCACTCACTCACCACACACTCACCACTCACTCACCACACACTCACCACGCTCACCACTCACTCACCACACACTCACCACGCTCACCACTCACTCACCACTCACTCACCACGCTCACCACTCACTCACCACACACTCACCACACACTCACCACGCTCACCACACACTCACCACACACTCACCATTCACTCACCACACACTCACCACTCACTCACCACTCACTCACCACTCACACTCACCACACACCACTCACGCGCCACTCACGCTCACCACTCACTCACCACGCTCACTCACCACTCACCACTCTCACCACTCACTCACCTCTCACTCACCACGCTCACCACTCACCACTCACTCACCACGCTCACCACTCACTCACCACGCTCACCACTCACTCACCACTCACACTCACCACACACCACTCACTCACCACTCACCACACTCACCACACTCACCACACACTCAATCACCACTCACCACTTATTCACCACACACTCAATCACCACTCACCACACTCTCACCATACACTCACCACTCACTCACCACACACTCACTCACCACTTACCTATACTCACCCCTCACACTCACCACTCACACTCACCAACACTCACTCACTAAGTACGTGATTTTGTATATGATTGTGTGTGTATGTATATGATTGTGTGTGTGTAGGTGTGTGATTGTGTGTGTAGGTGTGTGATTGTGTGTGTGTGTGTCGGTGTATATTTGTGTGTAGGTGTGTGTATGAGTGTGTGTGTGTGTGTATGTATGAGTGTGTGTAGGTGTGTGATTGTGTGTGTGTGTGTGTAGGTGTGTGATTGTGTGTGTGTAGGTGTGTGATTGTGTGTAGGTGTGTATGTGTAGGTGTGTGTATGAGTGTGTGTAGGTGTGTGATTGTGTGTGTGTAGGTGTGTGATTGTGTGTGTGTGTGATTGTGTGTGTGTATGAGTGTGTGTAGGTGTGTGTGTAGGTGTGTGATTGTGTGTGTGTAGGTGTGTGTAGGTGTGTGTAGGTGTGTGTGTAGGTGTGTGTGAGTATGTGTAGGTGTGTGTATGAGTGTGTGTAGGTGTGTGTGTGTAGGTGTGTGTGTGTATGAGTGTGTGTAGGTGTGTGATTGTCTGTGTGTAGGTGTGTGTGTGTGTGTAGGTGTGTGTATGAGTGTGTGTGAGATTGCGTGTGTGTAGGTGTGTGATTGTGTGTAGGTGTGTGATTGTGTGTGTGTGTGTAGGTGTGTGATTGTGTGTGTGTTTGAGCTGATCTGCCCTCTGACCATCGACTAGTCATCTGTAAGATGCGCCTGCCATTCTTCCACTCCGGTGGTGGGTGTACACCCAGGACCCCATTCCAACCTAAAGTGGCCTGGTCTCAGTTATCTGATGAAAGTTGCAAGCGAGAATTTCATCATCGCTTGCGGCTGGGATTGGCATCGTCCCCGACTCCTCCTGATGTCGAGGGTAAATGGGCGAGGTTTAGGACTGTGACTCATGCAGCTGCAATGGCTGCTTTGGGTACGCGGCCCAGACCTCCCCAGACACCCTGGATGACAGAGGAGTTGTTCAGGATGGTTGAGAAAAAGCGACAGGCCCACTGTCATCGGCTACAGAATCCCACGTCAGAGAATGAGGAGGCTTACCGCAGCCTTCGCTCGGAGGTTCGGAGAGCCGTGAGGCGCTGCAAGGATGGGTGGTGGTCGCGGGTTGCTGAGGAGATGGAGTCTGCCTCAGTGGCTCGTGATCACAAATCTCTATTTAACTCCATCAAAAAAGTAACCTGCAGCGCCACACCTATTACCATCATTAGGGGAAAAAACGGTGATCCAGTTTCCGACCCCCAGGAACAGGTTCGCAGATTTGCTGAGCATTTCTGTGAGGTCCTGGGGGAGGGAAAATCCCTCAGCCAGGAAAAGATCGTGGCACAAAGTGAGGATGACCCTGCTGAGGATGCGGTGCCTCAAATATTGGATGAAGTCACCCCCTGTGAGTGGCTGGCTGAGGTGCCATCTGCTGAGGAAGTATTGAAGGCGATCCGGAGTCTGAGACCAGGAAAGGCAGCGGGCAGAGATGATCTCCCAAGCGAAATGCTGAGGGAGGGTGGCGTTTGTGCACAGACTGCCCTATATGACATAACAACAGTCTGGACCACCGGACGGGTTCCGCAGGATTGGAAGGATGCCCTGGTGGTCCCCCTTTTTAAGAAGGGGGACCACACAGACTGTAACAACTACAGAGGCATCTCACTCCTCAGTGTGCCGGGAAAGGTCCTGGCAAGGATTATTCAGCATCGCCTTGCCAGGCACGCTGAGGAGAGGCTTCCGGAGCCCCAATGCGGTTTCAGGAAAGGGCGGTCCTGCACAGATGCCATATTTTCTGTCCGTCTGCTACAGCAGAGGTGTAGGGAATTCCAACAAGACCTACATCTCTGCTTTATTGACCTGGTCAAGGCCTATGATACCATCAGTAGGCCTGGGCTCTGGGTCGTTCTTCGTGCTTTTGGAGTACCTGACCCTCTGCTCACGATCATTAAGGACCTTCATGATGGTGAGCGGGCCCGGGTAAAACTACGTGGCCGGGAGTCAGAGCCATTCCCTGTACACCTTGGGGTGCGACAGGGATGTCCTCTGGCTCCCACATTATTTAACATCTATTTTGACCACGTAGTTCGTGAAGCCTTCAATAGCTGTACCGGGGGAATCTCCATATGGTACAGATATAATGGGAGGCTAATCGATGCCCGGGTGCGGTCAAGGGATGGCTCCCTATTGCTCAACCACGTTATGTACGCTGATGACTTGGTAATAGCTGCTCAGTCAGAGGAGGAGTTGGAGACGCTGCTGCTGAGACTGGAGCGTGCCACTAAGAGGTGGGGCCTTACCATCAGCCCCACCAAAACTAAGCACCTGCCTGGGTATTTTGTACCATCGGACACTCCACCCCCACAACTCCAAATCGGTGATGGGGCAGTTGTGGAGAGAGTGGAGAGTTTCCCATACCTGGGCAGTGTGCTTATGACTGGCTCCAGTTTAACAGCAGAGGTCTCACTCCGAATCAGTCGAGCGGCAATATCTTTTCATCGGTTGCGTAACGCTGTGTGGAAGCTACCTGGTCTGTCGCTCCGCACTAAGCTTCAGGTCTTCTCGGCCACGGTCATTCCCTCCCTTCTCTACGCTTGCGAAACGTGGACCCCCCTGGTGGAGCATCTTCGCCGGTTGGAGACATTTAGGCTGGCCTGCCTACGATCCATCCTGGGTTTAACCAGACTGGATTGTGTGAGGAGCTCACGAATTCTTGAGAGATCTGGGCGGGGTCCCGTCGGTGAGCTCCTCCGGCAGGCAAGGCTGCGATGGCCTGGTCATGTGGCCCGCATGCCCAGCCACCGCATGCCGAAACAGCTTTTGTTTGGCCGGATTGAGGGGGCTAAGCGGGCACGGCACGGCTAGAGAAGAGATGGAGTGATGTGGTACAGGAGGACGTGGAGCTGAGTGGACTTGCCGATGACTGGTACCAGCGGTGTCAAGATCGGCCTCTGTGGAGGAGGCTCGTGAAGGACGCTGCTACTGGGCAGTTGGAGGCAGTCGCCCTCCAACAACAACGGAGGGCGGAGGAGCGACGCTCAGAACAACGAGCGGAGCGCCGGGTGGCTAAAGCACAGCAGGTTGGCACAGTAGGGGGCACAGGTGGTGCATCATCCAGTCATCTCAGTCAGTCGACCCGTGGCACCTGGGTCTGCCCAGTGACCTCCTGCCAGCGGGCGTTCGACACTTCACACGGCCTCAGGGTGCACATAGCCTGGCACAAGCATCGTGGTGACGTCACCGCCACTTAGTGGCGAATGGCGGTTGTTGTTGTTGTGTAGGTGTAGGTGTGTGTGTAGGTGTGTGTAGGTGTGTGTGTGTAGGTGTGTGTGTGTAGGTGTGTGTGTGTGTAGGTGTGTAGGTGTGTGTGTGTGTGTGTAGGTGTGTGTGTGTAAGTGTGTGTGTAGGTGTGTGTGTGTGTAGGTGTGTGTGTGTGTAGGTGTGTGTAGGTGTGTGTGTAGGTGTGTGTGTGTGTGTAGGTGTGTGTGTAGGTGTGTGTATGTGTGTAGGTGTGTGTAGGTGAGTGTGTGTGTAGGTGTGTGTGTAGGTGTGTGTGTAGGTGTGTGTGTAGGTGTGTGTGTGTGTAGGTGTGTGTGTGTAGGTGTGTGTGTGTAGGTGTGTACGTGTGTGTGTGGCCTTTACAGGCGCTGCTTCTCGGTTACAGCACTTGCCCCAACAGTCTGTTAAAGCTACATGGGGGATCTTTATCTCTGTGTTGTTGTTGTGTTCAGGCTGTTAGGGTGGTTGTTGTCATGCCTGTTGCATCACCGCCTCGGTGCCAAGTTCAAGATCGGCTCCGTCGGACTGTTGTCTGTCAACAACCTGACACTACAGCCGGGTCTCCACAACACCCTGGTGATAGTACTACACCCTCACTACTACAGCCTCACTCATCACTGCTACAGCCTCACTACTACAGCCTCACTACTACACCCTCACTACTACAGCCTCACTACTACAGCCTCACTACTACATCCTCACTACTACACCCTCACCACTACAGCCTCACTACTACAGCCTCACTACTACACCCTCACTACTACACCCTCACTACTACAACCTCACTCATCACTGCTACAGCCTCAATACTGCACCCTCACTACTACAGCCTCACTACTACAGCCTCACTTCTACACCCTCATTACTACACCCTCACTACTACACCCTCACTACTACACCCTCACTACTACAGCCGCACTCATCACTGCTACAGCCTCACTACTACACCCTCACTACTACACCCTCACTACTACAGTCTCACTACTACACCCTCACTACTACAGCCTCACTCATCACTGCTACAGCCTCACTACTACACCCTCACTACTACAGCCTCACTACTAGAGCCCCACTCATCACTGCTACACCCTCACTACTACAGCCTCACTCATCACTGCTACAGCCTCACTACTACAGCCTCACTACTACACCCTCACTACTACAGCCTCACTACTACAGCCTCACTACTACAGCCTGACTCATCACTGCTACAGCCTCACTACTACAGCCTCCCTACTACAGCCTCACTACTACATCCTCACTACTACAGCCTCACTACTACAGCCTCACTACTACACCCTCACTACTACACCCTCACTACTACAGCCTCACTCATCACTGCTACAGCTTCAATACTGCAGCCTCAATACTGCACCCTCACTACTACACCCTCACTACTACACCCTCACTACTACAGCCTCACTTCTACACCCTCACTACTACACCCTCACTACTACAGCCTCACTCATCACTGCTACAGCCTCAATACTGCAGCCTCAATACTGCACCCTCACTACTACACCCTCTCTACTACACCCTCACTACTACAGCCGCACTCATCACTGCTACAGCCTCACTACTACACCCTCACTACTACACCCTCATTACTACAGCCTCACTACTACACCCTCACTACTACAGCCTCACTCATCACTGCTACAGCCTCACTACTACACCCTCACTACTACAGCCTCACTACTACAGCCTCACTACTACAGCCTCACTCATCACTGCTACAGCCTCACTACTACACCCTCACTACTACAGCCTCACTACTAGAGCCTCACTCATCACTGCTACAGCCTCACTACTACAGCCTCACTCATCACTGCTACAGCCTCACTGCTACAGCCTCACTACTACACCCTCACTACTACAGCCTCACTCATTACTGCTACAGCCTCACTACTACACCCTCACTACTACAGCCTCACTACTACAGCCTCACTCATTACTGCTACAGCCTCACTACTACACCCTCACTACTACAGCCTCACTCATTACTGCTACAGCCTCACTACTACACCCTCACTACTACAGCCTCACTCATCACTGCTACAGCCTCACTACTACACCCTCACTACTACAGCCTCACTACTACACCCTCACTACTACAGCCTCACTCATCACCACTACACCGTCTACTACACCCTCACTACTTCACCCTCACTACTACAGCCTCATTTCTACACCCTCACTACCACAGCCTCACTACTACAGCCTCACTACTACACCCTCACTACTACAGCCTCACTCACTACAGCCTGCTAGAGGCTACCTGGGGGATCTTTGTCTGTGTGTGTAGGTGCTGCTACTCGCTACTAACAGCACTTGCCCCTACAGCCTGCTAGAGGCTACCTGGGGGATCTTTGTCTGTGTGTGTAGGTGCTGCTACTCGCTACTAACAGCACTTGCCCCTACAGCCCTGCTAGAGGCTACCTGGGGGATCTTTGTCTGTGTGTGTTGGTGCTGCTACTCGCTGTGAACAGCACTTGCCCCTGCAGTCTGTTAAGGCTACCTGGGGGATCTTTGTCTGTGTGTGTGTTGGTGCTGCTACTCACTGTGAACAGCACTTGCCCCTGCAGTCTGTTAAGGCTACCTGGGGGATCTTTGTCTTTGCAGGAGATTGACAAGGTCTGGCTTTCCTGCCGGCTTTTCAACCCAGGACTTCCGTGAGTGACGGACGGGGACACGGGGAGAGACACGGGGAGAGAGACACGGAGACACGGGGAGAGAGACACGGGGAGAGACACGGGGGGAGAGACACGGGGAGAGAGACACGGAGACACGGGGAGAGAGACACGGGGAGAGACACTGGGAGAGAGACACTGGGAGAGAGACACGGGGAGAGAGACACGGGGAGAGAGATACGGGGAGAGAGACACTGGGGGAGAGAGACACGGAGACACGGGGAGAGAGACACGGAGAGACGGGGAGAGAGACACGGGGAGAGACACGGGGAGAGAGACACGGGGAGAGAGACACGGGGAGAGAGACACGGGGAGAGAAACACGAGGAGAGACACGGGGAGAGAGACACGGGGAGGGAGACACTGGGAGAGAGAGACGGGGAGAGAGAGACGGGGGAGAGACACAGGGAGAGAGACACGGGGAGAGACACGGGGAGAGAGACACGGGGAGAGAGACACGGGGAGAGAGACGCGGGGAGAGAGACACGGGGAGAGAGACACGGGGAGAGAGACACGGGGAGAGACACGGGGAGAGAGACACGGGGAGAGACAGGGAGAGACACGGGGAGAGAGACACGGGGAGGGAGACATGGCGAGAGAGACACGGGGAGGGAGACACGGGGAGAGAGAGAGACACGGGGAGAGACACGGGGAGAGAGACACGGGGAGGGAGACACGGGGAGAGAGAGACGGGGAGAGAGACACGAGGAGAGAGAGACGGGGGAGAGACATGGGGAGAGAGACACGGGGAGACAGACACGGGGAGAGAGACACGGGGGGAGAGACACGGGGGGAGAGACATGGGGGGAGAGACACGGGGAGAGAGACACGGGGAGAGAGAGACACGGGGAGAGAGACACGGGGGAGAGACACGGGGGGAGAGACACGGGGGGAGAGACACGGGGAGAGACACGGGGGAGAGACACGGGGGGAGAGACACGGGGAGAGAGACACAGGGAGAGAGAGACGGAGAGAGACACGGGGAGAGAGACACGGGGAGAGAGACACGGGGGGAGAGAGACACGGGGAGAGAGAGACACGGGGAGAGAGAGACACGGGGAGAGAGAGACACGGGGAGAGAGAGACACGGGGGGAGAGAGACACGGGGGGAGAGAGACACGGGGAGACACACTCTGACCCCACTCTGACCCCACACTGACCCCACTCTGACCCCACTCTGACCCCACTCTGATCCCACAATGACCCCACTATGACCCCACTATGACCCCACACTGACCCCACACTGACCCCACTCTGACCCCACTCTGACCCCACTCTGACCCCACTCTGACCCCACTCTGATCCCACACTGACCTCACACTGACCCCCACTCTGACCCCACTCTGACCCCACTCTGACCCCACTCTGACCCCGCACTGACCCCGCACTGACCCCGCACTGACCCCACTCTGACCCCCACTCTGACCCCACACTGACCCCACTCTGACCCCCACTCTGACCCCACTCTGACCCCACGCTGACCTCACTCTGACCCCACTCTGACCCCACTCTGACCCCACACTGACCCCACACTGACCCCACTCTGACCCCTCTCTGACCCCTCCCCCAGGAGGCCATTTGCTCTGTGCCTGAGGGAGGTCCGCCTCCGACTTGACCTCTCACCCTGCCCCGCCCCCGACGTCTCCACGGCAACGCCGGCCGGCCCTGCCTCCGGCCACACCCCCCCGGCCCCAGCAGCCAATCAGAGGAGGCCGCTACTCATCCGGGCGCTGGCACAGGTGACGACCTCCCTGTGACCCCTCCCCCGTGACCTCCCCGTGACCCCTCCCACCATGACCCGGTGACCCTGTTAACTCGGCAGCACTTGCCCCTACAGCCCTGCTAGAGGCTACCTGGGGGATCTTTATCTGTGTGTGTGTCCGTGTGTGTGAGTGTGTATGTGAGTGTGTAACAGCACTTGCCCCTACAGCCTGCTAGAGGTTACCTGGGGGATCTTTATCTGTGTGTGTGTCCGTGTGTGTGAGTGTGTGTGTGAGTGTGTAACAGCACTTGCCCCTACAGCTTGCTAGAGGCTACCTGGGGAATGTTTGTCTGTGTGTGTCCGTGTGTGAGTGTGTGTGTGTGTAACAGCACTTGCCCCTACAGCCTGCTAGAGGCTACCTGGGTGACCTTTGCCTGTGTGTGTGTGTGTGTAGGTGCTGCTACTCGCTACTAACTACAGCACTTACCCATACAGCCTTGCTAGAGGCTACCTGGGGAATCTTTGTCTGTGTGTGTCCATGTGTGAGTGTATGTGTGTGTGTGTGTAACAGCACTTGCCCCTACATCCTGCTAGAGGCTACCTGGGTGACCTTTGTCTGTGTGTGTGTCTGTGTGTGTGAGTGTGTAACAGCACTTGCCCCTACAGCCCTGCTAGAGGCTACCTGGGTGATCTTTGTGTGTGTGTCCATGTGTGAGTGTATGTGTGTGTGTGTAACAGCACTTGCCCCTACAGCCTGCTAGAGGCTATGCGGGTGACCTTTGTCTGTGTGTGTGTCCATGTGTGAGTGTATGTGTGTGTGTGTGTAACAGCACTTGCCCCTACAGCCTGCTAGAGGCTATGCGGGTGACCTTTGTCTGTGTGTGTGTCCATGTGTGAGTGTATGTGTGTGTGTGTAACAGCACTTGCCCCTACAGCCTGCTAGAGGCTACGCGGGTGACCTTTGTCTGTGTGTGTGTCCATGTGTGAGTGTATGTGTGTGTGTGTGTAACAGCACTTGCCCCTACATCCTGCTAGAGGCTACCTGGGTGACCTTTGCCTGTGTGTGTGTAGGTGCTGCTACTCGCTACTAACAGCACTTGCCCCTACATCCTGCTAGAGGCTACCTGGGTGACCTTTGCCTGTGTGTGTGTGTAGGTGTGCAGTGTGCAGGTGGAAAGTGTCAGTGTGATGCTGCTGCACGCCCTGGTGCCTGGGGCTCTCACCCACACCACCACCAGCACGCTGAGTGTCCTCCTCAGCCCCTCTACTACTGGCATGTACGTGTTAGTGTGTGTGTGTTAGTGTGTGTGTGTGTTAGTGGGGAGCGATAGTGTAGCGGTTAGCGCGCGGCGCTATGAACCTGGCGACCCGGGTTCGATTCCCGCTCACGGACAACACCAGTGACGATTATCTGAACCGGTCCCGGGCCTCCCCTAGGTCGACTCAGCCTCAAATGAGTACCTGGTGCGGTGTGTAAACATTGCCACTAGGGAGACAAAGGCGGTCGGGCGTGGTGCTGGCCACCCACCCCCTCGTGTACCGTTCCGGCCTTCATAGGTGCTCGCTAACAGCACTTGCCCCAACAGTCTGTTAAGGCTATATGGGGGATCTTTGTTTGTTTGTGTGTTAGTGTTAGTGTGTGTTAGTGTGTGTGTGTGTTAGTGTGCCTGGGGCTCTCACCCACACCACCACCAGCACACTGAGTGTCCTCCTCAGCCCCTCTACTACTGGCATGTACGTGTTAGTGTGTGTGTGTTAGTGTGTGTTAGTGTGTGTGTGTGTTAGTGTGTGTGTGTGTTAATGTGTGTGTGTGTTAGTGTGTGTGTGTTAGTGTGAGTGTGTGTTAGTGTGTTAGTGTGTGTGTTAGTGTGTGTGTTAGTGTGTGTGTTAGTGTGTGTGTTAGTGTGTGTGTGTTAGTGTGTGTGTGTTAGTGTGTGTGTGTTAGTGTGTGTGTTAGTGTGTGTGTTAGTGTGTGTTAGTGTGCCTGGGGCTCTCACCCACACCACCACCAGCACACTGAGTGTCCTCCTCAGCCCCTCTACTACTGGCATGTACGTGTTAGTGTGTGTGTGTTAGTATGTGTGTGTGTTAGTGTGTGTGTGTGTGTTAGTGTGTGTGTTAGTGTGTGTGTGTTAGTGTGTGTTAGTGTGTGTGTTAGTGTGTGTGTGTGTTAGTGTGTGTGTGTTAGTGTGTGTGTTAGTGTGTGTTAGTGTGTGTGTTAGTGTGTGTTAGTGTGTGTGTATTAGTGTGTGTGTATTAGTGTGTGTGTATTAGTGTGTGTGTTGGTGTGTGTGTTAGTGTGTGTGTTAGTGTGTGTGTGTTAGTGTGTGTGTTCGTGTGTGTTAGTTTGTTAGTGTGTGTGTTTGTGTGTTAGTGTGTGTTAGTGTGTGTTAGTGTGTGTTTGTGTGTTAGTGTGTGTTTGTGTGTTAGTGTGTGTGTTAGTGTGTGTTAGTGTGTGTTAGTGTGTTAGTGTGTGTGTTAGTGTGTTAGTGTGTGTGTGTTAGTGTGTGTTAGTGTGTTAGTGTGTGTGTGTTAGTGTGTGTGTGTTAGTGTGTGTTAGTGTGTGTGTGTTAGTGTGTGTTAGTGTGTGTGTGTTAGTGTGTGTTAGTGTGTGTGTGTTAGTGTGCCTGGGGCTCTCACCCACACCACCACCAGCACGCTGAGTGTCCTCCTCAGCCCCTCTACTACTGGCATGTACGTGTTAGTGTGTGTGTTAGTGTGTTAGTGTGTGTGTTAGTGTGTGTGTTAGTTGTGTGTGTGTTAGTTGTGTGTGTGTGTGTGTGTTAGTGTGTGTGTGTTAGTGTGTGTGTGTTAGTGTGTGTTAGTGTGTGTGTGTGTTAGTGTGTTAGTGTGTGTGTGTTAGTGTGTGTGTTAGTGTGTGTGTTAGTGTGTGTTAGTGTGTGTGTTAGTGTGTGTGTTAGTGTGTGTTAGTGTGTGTGTTAGTGTGTGTGTGTGTGTGTGTTAGTGTGTTAGTGTGCCTGGGGCTCTCACCCACACCACCACCAGCACGCTGAGTGTCCTCCTCAGCCCCTCTACTACTGGCATGTACGTGTTAGTGTGTGTTAGTGTGTGTGTGTGTGTTAGTGTGTGTGTTAGTGTGTGTGTTAGTGTGTGTGTTAGTGTGTGTGTTAGTGTGTGTGTGTTAGTGTGTGTGTATTAGTGTGTGTGTATTAGTGTGTGTATTAGTGTGTGTGTTAATGTGTGTGTGTTAGTGTGTGTGTGTTAGTGTGGGGAGCGGTAGTGTAGCGGTTAGCGCTACGCTGCGCTATGAACCTGGCGACCCGGGTTCGATTCCCGCTCACAGCCAAAACCAGTGACGATTACCTGAACCGGTCCTGGGCCTCCCCTAGGTCGACTCAGCCTCAAATGAGTACCTGGTGAGGTGTGTAAACATCGCCACTAGGGAGACAAAGGCGGTCGGGCGTGGTGCTGGCCACCCACCCCCTCGTGTACCGTTCCGGCCTTCATATGTGCTCGCTAACAGCACTTGCCCCTACAGTCTGTTAAGGCTATATGGGGGATCTTTGTTTTTATCTTTGTGTTAGTGTGTGTGTGTGTCTTTGTGTATCGGCACTTGCCCCTACAGCCTGCTAGAGGCTACACGGGGGAGCTTTGTCTGTGTCTGTGTCTTTGTCATTCCCCAGGTGCACCCTGCATTTGAGTCTCAGCCAATTAAACAGCAGGATGCTCAAGAGCAGCAGCCAACCGGTGAGCTCGTTGCTGCACCGCCTGCCATCTGCGTCATCATCGGTCGCTGATTGGCCGCTAACGGGTCACGTGACTCTCGTTTGAAGGTGGCGGCAGTCCACGATTGGACGTAACCAAGTCACGTGACTTGTTGGATGGTGGCAGCAGTCTCCGATTGGCCGCAACCGGGTCACGTGACTTGAGCTTGACGGTGGTGGCAGTGGCGGCAGTCTCCGATTGGCCGCGGCCGGGTCACGTGACTATCGTTTGACGGTGGCGGCAGTCTACGATTGGGCGTAACCGGGTCACGTGACTTGTTGGATGGTGGCGGCAATCTCCGATTGGCCGCGACCGGGTCACGTGACTATCGTTTGACGGTGGCGGCAGTCTACGATTGGGCGTAACCGGGTCACGTGACTTGTTGGATGGTGGCGGCAGTCCCTCGATTGGCCGCGACCGGGTCACGTGACTCTCGTTTGACGGTTGCGGTAGCGGCGGCAGTCTCCGATTGGCCGCGACCGGGTCACGTGACTGTCGTTTTACGGTGGCGGCAACGGCGGCAGTCTCCCATTGGCGGCGACCGGGTCACGTGACTCTCGTTTGACGGTGGCGGCAGTCTACGATTGGACGTAACCGGGTCACGTGACTTTTATTTCGACGGTGGCGACACATCTCTGATTGGCCGTAACCAAGTCACGTGACTTGTTGGATGGTGGCGGCAGTCTCCCATTGGCCGCGACCGGGTCACGTGACCCCCCCCCCCCCGCTCCGCCCCCCCCCCCCCCCCCAGGCTGAGCTGTGCGTCGCAGAGCTGTGCCTCAGCCTGAGCCTGACGGCCCAGCTGGACTTGACCTCGCTGAAGGTCGCGACCCTTGACCTCCGCCTGGGCAAGCTGGTGGCGGGGCTGCACGGGGTCGCGACCTTCGACCCCGAGGCGGAGGGCGGGGTCGCGACCCCGCACGCCGGCCGCCCCCCCCCGTCGGAGGAGGGGGGGTGGAAGGTCACGACCTCTGACCTGATGGCGCGCCTGCCCGAGTTGACGAGCGTGCAGGTCAACAACGTGAGCGTCACCGCCACGCTGGCTGTGACACAGCAGAGGTGGTGACGCTCGCTCACACACTGTACACACACTGTACACACACACCGTACACACACTGTACACACACTGTACACACACACTGTACACACAGCGTACACACACCGCACACACACTGTACACACACCGTACACACACTGTACACACACTGTACACGCACACTGTACACACACAGTGTACACACACAGTGTACACACACAGTGTACACACACACAGTGTACACACACACACAGTGTACACACACAGTGTACACACACACAGTGTACACACACACACAGTGTACACACTGTACACACACACTGCACACACACACTGTACACACACTGTACACACACACTGTACACACACAGTGTGTAAACACACACAGTGTACACACACACAGTGTACACACACAGTACACACACAGTACACACACACACTGTACATACACTGTACACACACTGTACACACTGTACACACACAGTGCACACACACACAGTGTACACACACACAGTGTACACACACACAGTGTACACACACACAGTGTACACACACACACAGTGTACACACACACAGTGTACACACACACACACAGTACACACACTGTACACACACACAGTACACACACACTGTACACACACACTGTACACACACACACTGTACACACACAGTGTACACACACACAGTGTACACACACACTGTACACACACACAGTGTACACACACACAGTGTACACACACAGTGTACACACACAACGTGTGCACACACAGCGTGTACACACACACACACAAACACAGCGTGTACACACACACACACAGTGTACACACACCGTGTACACACACACACACATAGTGTACACACACACACACATAGTGTACACACACACACACAGAGTGTACACACACACAGTGTACGCACACAGAGTGTACACACACACAGTGTACACACACACACACAGCGTGTACAAACACACACACAGTGTACACACACACACAGTGTGTACGTACACACACAGTGTGTACACACACACAGTGTGTGTGTGTGTGTCTGTGTGTGTCTGTGTGTGTACACACACACACACAGTGTGTGTGTCTGTGTGTGTCTGTGTGTCTGTGTGTGTGTGTCTGTGTGTGTGTGTCTGTGTGTGTGTGTGTACACTGTGTGTGTGTCTGTGTGTAACAGCACTTGCCCCGACAGCACTGCTAGAGGCTACCTGGGGGAACCTTTCTCTGTGTGCGTGCCTCCACCCCCCCCCTCTTCCCCCCCTCTTCCCCCCCTCTGCCCCCCTCTGCCCCCAACCCCTCTGCCCCCCTCTGCCCCCCCTCTGCCCCCCCTGACCCCCCAGCCCCGTGGTGATGGCGACTCGCCTGGTGGAGTGTCGACTCACCCTCTGCCCCCACCCACCACAGCCGCCACGGTGGGGGGAGGGGCCGGTGGGGGGTGGGCGGGGCCTTGAGGGGGGCCCTCCCCACCCCCCACCACAGCCGCCGCTACCCCAGGGCAGCTGTTGCGTCACTGTTCACGGTAGGTGTGGGGAGTTGTGTGTGTGTAGGTGTGTGTAGGTGTGTGTGTGTAGGTGTGTGTGTGTAGGTGTGTGTGTGTAGGTGTGTGTGTGTGTAGGTTTGTGTGTGTGTGTGTAGGTGTGTGTGTGTAGGTGTGTGTAGGTGTGTGTGTTTAGGTGTGTGTGTGTAGGTGTGTGTGTGTAGGTGTGTGTGTGTAGGTGTGTGTGTAGGTGTGTGTGTGTAGGTGTGTGTGTGTGTAGGTGTGTGTGTAGGTGTGTGTAGGTGTGTGTAGGTGTGTGTGTGTGTAGGTGTGTGTGTGTGTAGAGGTGTGTGTGTAGGTGTGTGTGTGTGTAGGTGTGTGTGTGTAGGTGTGTGTGTGTGTAGGTAGGTGTGTGTAGGTGTGTGTGTTGGTGTGTGTGTAGGTGTGTGTGTGTAGGTGTGTGTAGGTGTGTGTGTGTGTAGGTGTGTGTGTGTAGGTGTGTGTGTGTAGGTGTGTGTGTAGGTGTGTGTGTGTAGGTGTGTGTGTGTAGGTGTGTGTGTGTGTAGGTGTGTGTGTGTAGGTGTGTGTGTGTGTAGGTGTGTGTGTGTGTAGAGGTGTGTGTGTAGGTGTGTAGGTGTGTGTGTGTGTGTAGGTGTGTGTGTGTAGGTGTGTGTGTGTAGGTGTGTGTGTGTAGGTAGGTGTGTGTGTAGGTGTGTGTGTGTAGGTGTGTGTAGGTGTGTGTGTGTGTAGGTGTGTGTGTGTAGGTGTGTGTGTAGGTGTGTGTGTGTAGGTGTGTGTGTGTAGGTGTGTGTGTGTAGGTGTGTGTGTGTAGGTGTGTGGGGAGTTGTGTGTGTGTGTGTAGGTGTGTGTGTGTAGGTGTATGTGTAGGTGTGTGTGTGTAGGTGTGTGTGTGTCTGTGTGTAGGTGTGTGTGTGTGTGTGTAGGTGTGTGTGTGTAGGTGTGTGTGTGTAGGTGTGTGTGTGTAGGTGTGTGTGTGTGTAGGTGTGTGTGTGTGGGTGTATGTGTATGTGTGTGTAGGTGTGTGTGTAGGTGTGTGTGTGTAGGTGTGTGTGTCTGTGTGTAGGTGTGTGTGTAGGTGTGTGTGTGTGTGTAGGTGTGTGTGTGTAGGTGTGTGTGTAGGTGTGTGTGTGTGTAGGTGTGTGTGTGTAGGTGTGTGTGTAGGTGTGTGTGTGTAGGTGTGTGTGTAGGTGTGTGTGTGTAGGTGTGTGTGTGTAGGTGTGTGTGTGTGTAGGTGTGTGTGTGTGTAGGTGTATGTGTGTGTGTAGGTGTGTGTGTGTAGGTGTGTGTGTCTGTGTGTAGGTGTGTGTGTGTGTGTAGGTGTGTGTGTGTAGGTGTGTGTGTGTAGGTGTGTGTGTGTAGGTGTGTGTGTAGGTGTGTGTGTAGGTGTGTGTGTGTAGGTGTGTGTGTGTAGGTGTGTGTGTAGGTGTGTGTAGGTGTGTGTGTGTGTGTAGAGGTGTGTGTGTGTGTGTGTAGGTGTGTGTGTAGGTGTGTGTGTGTAGGTAGGTGTGTGTAGGTGTGTGTGTTGGTGTGTGTGTAGGTGTGTGTGTGTAGGTGTGTGTGTGTAGGTGTGTGTGTGTAGGTGTGTGTGTGTAGGTGTGTGTGTAGGTGTGTGTGTGTAGGTGTGTGTGTGTAGGTGTGTGTGTAGGTGTGTGTGTGTAGGTGTGTGTGTGTGTGTAGGTGTGTGTGTGTGTAGGTGTGTGTGTGTGTAGAGGTGTGTGTGTAGGTGTGTGTGTGTGTGTAGGTGTGTGTGTGTAGGTGTGTGTGTGTAGGTGTGTGTGTGTAGGTAGGTGTGTGTGTAGGTGTGTGTGTTGGTGTGTGTGTAGGTGTGTGTGTGTAGGTGTGTGTAGGTGTGTGTGTGTGTGTAGGTGTGTGTGTAGGTGTGTGTGTAGGTGTGTGTGTAGGTGTGTGTGTAGGTGTGTGTGTGTAGGTGTGTGTGTGTAGGTGTGTGTGTGTAGGTGTGTGGGGAGTTGTGTGTGTGTGTGTAGGTGTGTGTGTGTAGGTGTATGTGTGTGTGTAGGTGTGTGTGTGTAGGTGTGTGTGTCTGTGTGTAGGTGTGTGTGTGTGTGTAGGTGTGTGTGTGTAGGTGTGTGTGTGTAGGTGTGTGTGTGTAGGTGTGTGTGTGTGTAGGTGTGTGTGTGTGGGTGTATGTGTATGTGTGTGTAGGTGTGTGTGTAGGTGTGTGTGTGTAGGTGTGTGTGTCTGTGTGTAGGTGTGTGTGTAGGTGTGTGTGTAGGTGTGTGTGTAGGTGTGTGTGTAGGTGTGTGTGTGTGTGTAGGTGTGTGTGTGTGTAGGTGTGTGTGTGTAGGTGTGTGTGTGTAGGTGTGTGTGTGTAGGTGTGTGTGTAGGTGTGTGTGTGTAGGTGTGTGTGTGTAGGTGTGTGTGTGTGTGTGGGTGTGTGTGTGTGTAGGTGTATGTGTGTGTGTAGGTGTGTGTGTGTAGGTGTGTGTGTCTGTGTGTAGGTGTGTGTGTGTGTGTAGGTGTGTGTGTGTAGGTGTGTGTGTGTAGGTGTGTGTGTGTAGGTGTGTGTGTAGGTGTGTGTGTAGGTGTGTGTGTGTAGGTGTGTGTGTGTAGGTGTGTGTGTAGGTGTGTGGGGAGCGGTAGTGTAGCGGTTAGCGCGCTGCGCTATGAACCTGGCGACCCGGGTTCGATTCCCGCTCACGGCCAACACCAGTGACGATTATCTGAACCGGTCCCGGGCCTCCCCTAGGTCGACTCAGCCTCAAATGAGTACCTAGTGCGGTGTGTAAACATTGCCACTAGGGAGACAAAGGCGGTCGGGCGTGGTGCTGGCCACCCACCCTCTCTTGTACCGTTCCGGCCTTCATAGGTGCTCGCTAACAGCACTTGCCCCTGCAGTCTGTTAAGGCTATATGGGGGATCTTTGTCTTTGTCTTGTGTAGGTGTGTGTGTGTAGGTGTGTGTGTGTGTGTAGGTGTGTGTGTGTAGGTGTGTGTGTGTGTAGAGGTGTGTGTGTGTAGGTGTGTGTGTGTGTGTAGGTGTGTGCGTGTGTAGGTGTGTGTGTGTAGGTGTGTGTGTGTAGGTGTGTGTGTGTGTGTGTAGGTGTGTGTGTGTAGGTGTGTGTGTGTGTGTAGGTGTGTGTGTAGGTGTAGGTGTGTGTGTAGGTGTGTGTGTGTAGGTGTGTGTAGGTGTGTGTAGGTGTGTGTGTGTAGGTGTGTGTGTAGGTGTGTGTGTGTAGGTGTGTGTGTGTAGGTGTGTGTGTGTAGGTGTGTGTGTGTAGGTGTGTGTGTGTAGGTGTGTGTGTGTAGGTGTGTGGGGAGTTGTGTGTGTGTGTGTAGGTGTGTGTGTGTAGGTGTATGTGTGTGTGTAGGTGTGTGTGTGTAGGTGTGTGTCTGTGTGTGTAGGTGTGTGTGTGTAGGTGTGTGTGTAGGTGTGTGTGTGTGTAGGTGTGTGTGTGTGTAGGTGTGTGTGTGTAGGTGTGTGTGTGTAGGTGTGTGTGTGTAGGTGTGTGTGTGTAGGTGTGTGTGTGTAGGTGTGTATGTGTAGGTGTGTGTGTGTGTGTAGGTGTGTGTGTGTGTAGGTGTGTGTGTGTAGGTGTCTGTGTAGGTGTGTGTGTGTGTGTGTAGGTGTGTGTGTGTAGGTGGTGTGTGTGTGTAGGTGTGTGTGTGTAGGTGGTGTGTGTGTGTAGGTGTGTGTGTGTAGGTGTGTGTGTGTAGGTGTGTGTGTGTAGGTGTGTGTAGGTGTGTGTGTGTAGGTGTGTGTGTAGGTGTGTGTGTGTAGGTGTGTGTAGGTGTGTGTGTAGGTGTGTGTGTGTAGGTGTGTGTGTGTGTAGGTGTGTGTGTGTAGGTGTGTGTGGGGAGTTGTGTGTGTAGGTGTGTAGGTGTGTGTAGGTGTGTGTGTAGGTGTGTGTGTGTGTGTAGGTGTGTGTGTGTAGGTGTGTGTGTGTGTAGGTGTGTGTAGGTGTGTGTGTAGGTGTGTGTAGGTGTGTGTGTGTAGGTGTGTGTGTGTAGGTGTGTGTGTGTGTGTAGGTGTGTGTGTGTAGGTGTGTGTGTGTAGGTGTGTGTGTAGGTGTGTGTGTAGGTGTGTGTGTGTAGGTGTGTGTGTGTAGGTGTGTGTGTAGGTGTGTGTGTGTAGGTGTGTGTGTGTGTAGGTGTGTGGGGAGTTTGTGTGTGTGTGTGTGTGTGGGTGTGTGTGTGTAGGTGTGTGTGTGTGTAGGTGTGTGTGTGTAGGTGTGTGTGTAGGTGTGTGTGTAGGTGTGTGTGTAGGTGTGTGTGTGTAGGTGTGTGTGTAGGTGTGTGTGTGTGTAGGTGTGTGTGTAGGTCAGTCGAGCGGCAATATCTTTTCATCGGTTGCGTAACGCTGTGTGGAAGCTACCTGGTCTGTCGCTCCGCACTAAGCTTCAGGTCTTCTCGGCCACGGTCATTCCCTCCCTTCTCTACGCTTGCGAAACGTGGACCCCCCTAATGGAACATCTTCGCCGGTTAGAAACATTTAGGCTGGCCTGCCTACGATCCATCCTTGGTTTAACCAGACTGGATTGTGTGAGGAGCTCACAAATCCTTGAAAGATCTGGGCAGGGTCCCATCGGTGAGCTCCTCCGGCGGGCAAGGCTGCATTGGCTGGGTCATGTAGCCCGCATGCCCAGCCACCGCATGCCGAAACAG